TTTAGCATGCGTTAATAGTTATAAAATAAGAACTTTGACTAGTGGTAATACAATTTAAAAAAAAGAACGAATAATCTCTTAAATACAGGCAGTATCACAAACACTCAATCACTTTAGAAATTAACTGTTCGAACATTATGTCTCAAGAAACTCATAACGACTTAGATATTACCAGCAATAGTGGAGATATGACTCTTGCTGTAGAAGCTAGTAAGGATATTAACTTCGAGGATGATGCCATTGTTATTGACAATGAAGATATAGATTTTAATTTTGTCGATAATGAGGATATTGGCTTTGCTTTTGATGACAGTAGTTATATAAGTTTCACTCCTGATAACGATGAAAATACAAACGTTAATAGTGATGATGTAGACTCTACTATCGATTCAAGTAGTAAAGACACATCTGTTAAATATAGTAAGAGTGTTTCAAAACGGAATGGACATGGGCAACGTACATCTATTGTATGGGAATTTTTTTCTGAAGAAAAAAATGAAGATCAAGAAGTAGTTGCAATTGTTTGTAATATTTGCAAGAAGAAATGGAAACCGGGTAACACAACTGGGACTTTTGCAATTCACCTTAATAATAAACATCATAGAAATATTTCTCTGAAACAGCAGACACTCTTACGTTTTGCAACTACACCATATACACCAAAAGAAGCAAAACGAACAAATGAAATTACTAAATCAATAGTTGATTTTATCGTGTGTTACCAATTACCTTTTACTGTTGTAGATAATAAGTACTTTAGAAAAATGGTTAGTGTTCTTGATCCACGCTATCGTGTTTTATGCCGACAAATATTGAGTAATGAAATAATGAGCCAGTTCGAAAATACACATGAAAAAATAATAAATTTACTTGAAAATGTTAGCTCAATAGTTTCAGTTACATGTGATATATGGACAGCCATATCTAACCAAGCGTATTTGGGAATAACTATACATTATATCGATGACAATTGGGAATTAAGAAGCTTTCTCCTTGATTTAATACACTATCTGGACCATCATTATGGTACACATACCAAAGACCTGCTCCTAACATTATTCAATAAATTTAAAATCATACAAAATATTATGGGACTTACTACTGATAACGATGCAAGTATGATCGTCGCAGGGCGTGAGTTACAAGTGGCCCTTTCATCTTTAGAAAATAATAATTTTGTGCATTGTCGATGCGCAGCACATATCTTAAATATCGCGGTAAAACATGGTATGCAGCTCGAAACTATAATTATTGAGAAAGTTAGAAATTTCATAAAAAAAGTCCGCCACTCTCAATTATTATGTGACAGTTTACGAAATATTTGTGCTATACAAGAAGTTGAATACTTAAAACCAGAGCTTGACATTGAGACGCGTTGGAACAGTACGTTCCTAATGTTGCAAAAGTTCAATAGGATGAGTGAAATATTAGAATTTTTGGTTGCAAAGAACAAAAAACAGCTCGAAGATTCATGGCTTGATGAAAGTGAGTAGGTGCAAATAGATGCAATACTAAAGCTTCTTGAACCGATATACCAGGCAACATTATTGTTGTCCTCTAGTTCTTATCCAGCTATCAGTGACATTCGTCTTGTGTTTATTGGGCTACAGCGCCACCTTGATCAATATCTCTCTAACTATGAAGAGGATGAATGCTATATGGCACAATCAATAATGCACAAACTAGAAGAGTATTGGAACATTATTGAAGAATCGACTATATTACCCACCTTACTTAATCCATGTTCAAAGTTGAAAACTTTTGTTACATGTGAAACCCGATCGGCTGCTGTAAGTTTGCTACGAAAACATATGTCAAGCTATAAAGAAACACCTTTAAATATATTTACTACCACGCAAGAAAAAGAAAATCAAGAAAAAAAAAAAAATCAACAGTTATTTTTTGAATCACTTTTACAACAAAGAAATGATATACTGATAGAAAATGAGCTAGAACGATACTTGGCTCTTCCACTTGTTCTAGAAGAAAACCCACTTAAATGGTGGTATAAGTTTGAAAAGGAATTCCCAACACTCAGTAAAATGGCAAGAAATTATCTGTCGATACAAGGAACTAGTGTTCCAAGTGAACGTGCATTTTCAATTGCAGCTCATACTGTTACGAAAATTAGAAGTAATCTTGCTCCAGATTCAGTACGTGCTGCGATATGTTTAAAAAGTTGGATAACAAAGGTTCGTGATGATTATCATAATTATGATAAATTGTAACAAACCTTTATACTATATAATATTTCACGATAGTAACAGGCTTGGATTTTTAGATTAGTGGTTTTTGTTGTTTTGTGTGGGTTGAACATATAATTAGATGAATTCCATTTAATAGATTAGAAAATATTCAAAAGATTGATAAAAGATGAATTTTTTGCAATTTTTAGACGGCATACTATTTTTTAGACAGATATTATTGATTATACATATTCGCGCATATTACCAAGCATAATTATGCTAGATTTATATAATTATGTATAAATCATTAAATTTGATGTATTAGGACATCGTGAAATAATCTAATAAATTGTATATAAAACTTTGCACTAGAATAATATTCTTTTTCAGTATTAATTATTTTCTTATTTTGTAACTGATTGGCTTATTTATTTAATATAACGATAATTAACGTTAATATCAATTAAATTGCCTATACGTAATAATAGTACAATTACAAATTCTGCCAATTGAACATCCTGCACATATTGATACGTACTACGTATAATAAGCTAGTTATTTAAAAATAATAATAAAAAATAATAATGATAATTCAATATATATATTAACATTATTATTATTATTATTATTTATTAATAATATAATAAAATAACTCGCTATCATATGTTCTGTCTGTTTCGCATATAGTGCAGAAAATTTAAAAATCAATGAAGTCAATGAACTCATTAAAGATAAGCTAAATTGTTATTTTCAGAAGCAACTTATTTCAGTATGCATAGAATAGTTGCTTAGAAATATATTATTAGTGTATTTAAAGATTGAGAACTCTAGATTCGTTGCTTTATTAAGATCAATAATTGGAGAAATTTATCTGTGATAATATTAGTATTTTATAAAATTTAAAAGTTATTTGCGAGATTGGGCTAATAATTCTTTACGAATTCAAGGTAATTTATTTATTTATATATATCATATAATTACTGGGATTAATTATAAATTTAACTGCGCACTAATATTTATTTACCTTTTTTTTATTTCTATTTACTAACAAAAAAAGCACGATTCTTAGATTGGTTAGTATTAATTATATATAGTACTTCGAATTATACTCTGAGTTATACTTTATATTATACTTCGAAGTATGCTTCAGGTTAATACTCTGAGTTATACCTAACTTAATACTCCAAAGTAACATTATAAAGTTTGCTTTGTAAGAGTATACACCGAAGTGGTGTAGTGTTAGAGAATACTCTGTCAAAATATACACCACACCACCTCAGAGCACTCCATTAACATCCCTATCCACCAGTGTCGTTTTGAGATCTCGCCGAGGCCTGTCACGAGTTAGATCCTCCCAATCCAGTTAGCCGCTAAGCCAGGTTGGTGTAACCATAACATACAGCGATCCCCACTGCGATACAGACTTATGTGCACCTAACCCGATCAAAGTCTTTGAGCACACTATCCTTCTGGATCAAGCGTTAGCCAGTATGACCGTCGAAAGCCGTACTACTTCACCAACTCAGGATTTCTACCATGCAGGTCTCCTGCCCGTAGATCCTATCAAGATTTATTCGTGTAACATTACGTCTCTCCAAACGCCCCGTCACACTTCCAATATCCGGATGATATTGGTGCAATGTGATTTACAGGGTTACAACCCCAGAAACGGACAGGGTTT